ACCTCTGAAAATTTTTATGTTGTGGTTCTAGAAGAGAAAAAGATAATAGGTGATGATTTTGTTTTGGAAAAATTACTTTGCTTGGGACAAGCAAGATTCTAGGTTGGGGGGAGTTGTTAAGTGGTAAAAAGTTGATATAATTATGCCTTGAATTGTTATGAAACCACTTAACTTATGTTAATTCTAATATATTTTTCTCCCAATATAGGATGAAATCGAGAATACCTTGATACAAAAGGAAGGAGCATAATTGTCAGCATAATTAGAGTAAAATTGAAAGAAAGAAGAGCGCTTATGCGAATAAATGATGCGAGGCCCGACCCAAATTCTCTTATAAAAAGATAAGTTGTGTTTTGAGAAAAGCAAGCAGTATTGGAGAGGAAGAGGCACGACTACTGTTACGGTTTTGTCTAATCTTCATCAATTCTACTTCATCAATTGGAGCATTGTAATGGACAACATGAGTGGCTAACTTCATTCTCTTAGGATTCGGTGCACTTTCTTTGAACTCTTTTGTATCATGGTGATATTTTGATATATTAATCTATGCTTTGATGTTGTTATTTTTATCCTTTATGCTTTGGAATGATTTATTCTTGATTGTTTGAGGTATGATTGGAAAATATATCTTGAACCCTAAATCACGGTAAGAATATTTGTTACGTTAATTGCCATGAATGGAATAAATGTATCAATTGCTTAATACCCTAACCCTAATGCTGGAAAATCTGTTAATTGTGTGAGGAATCAACATTTATTAGGTTTTCTTATGAATTTCATGTGTGAGGAATCAACATGGATGATTTGAGTAGGTGACATCAACATTGTTAGGTTAATTGACATTCTTAATTGACATAGCCATTACAAAAGAGGGATAAGGAAGGAAACCAATCCTAAGTACCTTTAATTGATATTTTCTCAATAATTTACAGTTCTTTGTCATTTAATTTCAATTCAACTCTTATTTGCAAAACCTAATCTGTTTTAATCTACTTAGTAAGCATAATTGGGAATTTCCATTGAAACTGTTCCTCGTGGGATCGACTTTTATTTAATCGAAATATTATACTGCGATTGATAATTTGGTACGCTTGCCAATAATTCAACATTTGTTTCAATTTTATAATGACAAAAAAGAAAATATTTAATGTTGATTTTACCTAAAATGTTTAATTTTTTTATCACTATAAAATGTATCAAATTATTAAAAGATCAAACAAAAGAAGAGGAAATTTCTAGTATTGTTCTTTTATAGTGTTACTAAGATTATCTCCATCTCTTGTTTTGAGTTTCCTCATTAAAAAAAAAATTGGTTAAGGATTTCTATCATTAGAGAGAATATACATTATTGAATGATTTTAAAAAAATTTAAACATGTTTTTCTTATAAAATTTGTTTCTTTAAATATTATATATATATATATATATATATATATATATATATATATATATATATATATTTGTTTGAAATTTTTTAAAGTTTCTTTTACTAGAAATAAGTTCTTTAGTATTTATGTAAGACTAGAAATCAAATATTTTTATGTATTATATTTTCATGGAGATTCGTCATGTTTTTATTGTACTTAATTATGTTAAACGTATGGCTAAATTATACATTTAATTCTTTAATATTAATTTGTTAAATTTTTTACACAGTCAATTGTTTTTCTTCCTTTCTTTCTAAAACCAGTTCAACAAGGTGTTTGTCCCAAATGAACACAATATGTCTTTTAGCCAAAAAAAAAAATTGCCATTTGAATAATTAAGAAGATAGTATAATAGTATGCAAGTTGTAGCAGAGGTTAGAGTAGGTTTTGAGGATATGAATATGACTATCTAAACATCGTCCGAAGGAACGAAACACCAAAATAACGTTTACCAATAATCATTATATTTTCATATTTTCTTATTTTTCAGTATTTATTTTAATTAGTGTTTTGGGTTTAAGTGTATGTTATTAGTAAATTTTTATTAATTGAATTTCATTGATCCAATATTTCACATTTTAATTAATTTGAATCTATTTGATGTAATTTTTACTTATTATTATTTGTAAGACAAGTTTAAAACAATTTTGAGCTTGGAAGATTGTGACAGATATTATGTTAGTTGTCCATTAGGATTACGATTTTTGTTTTATTTGTTTCTGATGTGTTTTGTGGGCTAGTTGGACCCAAACCTAAATTACGATTAGAAGTTAGGGTTATTTATGTTAGTGATCACGTGGAGGTACATCACAACGCACATCACGGAATCGCATCCTCAGAAAGTCAATTTTATCTTCTGTATTTTGTATTCAAGTTTGTTTACTCTTCTGTCATTATTTTAAATTCTTGTTTCGATTTTAATTATGTATTTTCTTCTGCGTTTTCGATTTTCTATGAATAGTTAAATCTTTGTATTGATTTTCTGAGAAGAATGTAATAGATCTTTGAGGTTTTGTTCTTCTATTTCGTTTGTTCTCGTAACTCTTTATCAATTATAATATGTTTATGCTTAATAAATTGAAATTAATATCACAGTTTGTTTAATCCTATGTTAGAGATGAGATTATGTGATGTATGCAATGCTTAAATGTATAAAGATAATCTGGGTTAATCTTCCCTTAATTGGTTAATTTTGGGTTAGAATAAGAGTTAAAACAATTTAATCTCATAACCTAAGATAAATGACACTGCATTTGAATTAATTATTTAAATTTTATATCAATTTTTTTTTTTACTCTTTCATTTATATTTTATCTAGTGTTTTATAATGAATGATATACGATAACGATTACGTTTATATGTCCTTATAAAATTCAACATAATTAATTATACTACGATAACTTAATAACTTTATTATTATTTTTTTATCAGTATTTAGCGGGAGTAAATACTGTAATCACTCTAAGACAACACAAATTTGTCCACATTTTACAGCTGTAAATAAACTCTCTTAAGCTTGAAGGATCATATGGTGATGTAAGGAGCGTACGCTAATCAAGGCCCATGAACACAAGGAGAAGGAGGTAGAGGATTATCTTCCTCCTCAGCATCCTAAGCTCGTGGTGTATGAACCATAGCTTTCCCAAGAGGTTGAGTTTGGTGATGATGATGAACAACTTCGAGCACACTGCACACTACATAAATATATAAACGATTCTTAGGGTTTTAAATTCTTGGAAAATTGTTTGTGTTAAAAGTTATACCTCCTCACAAAAATGACTGGTAATAAAAAAATTTGATTCAAATTTTTTAATGTTAAAATTAATAATGTGACGATTTTTTTTTTATTTGAAAAATATGAAGAACTTTAAAATTTTAAAAGAAGAAACATAATCAGGTAGCAAAGGAAAGCACCTAAACACTGGTCATTCAAAGTGCATTTACAGGGTGTTCCTTGTTGCACATGTGTTGAGGGCTGATATCTTTGTCTTGTAGCACTTTTAGCCAAAACTTTGTAAGCTGGAACACTACAGTTCCCAGAATATTTTGCCACATTATAGTTGGTGTTGCCCCTTGAGATATAGACATAAAATCTTCTGCGTAATGTGTTTCGAAAGTACAGAAAATAAAAAAATATTAAAGTTATTAAAATACCTTCAAGTGTTATAATATATTTAACCTTTTGTACAAGCACAAACAACGCAAGCAGTAGATTACCAATTGCGAGTGCAGTGCACATGAAAATATGAGATCGTAATATGAAACTATAATAGTGAGTTATAAATGCAACGCCATATTATATTTTTTATCTTGAAGAATTAAGGGCTGGAAAAATATATTTCATTTGCTAGGTGGGAATTGTTCGTTTTGAAGTTGTGTCTGCAAAGAAGTTTAAGAAAAAAATGGCAATTTTTACTCATCATTTCATCCCCGTTATTGCATTATAAGGGTAAGCACAATGCTTGTGCTGTGCATATACACCAATCGTCTAAGGGTTGAGGGTGGATAGTAGAAGCATATCTTACAGTGTGGACAGTAGATAAAATCTTCGCTTACGAATGACTATACCATTATGGAGTTTCAAGAGTCACAGTTGGATCCGTAAATAAACCAAAGATAGAAAAGAGAGACAAATCTTGTTAGAATCATTACATGCAAATTATTGTTTGTTTTGGAGTTTGACAGATTAGAGTGTTGTTTTGTTTGAAAGTTTGCATTAGTGGATTGAAAGAAGAAGTGTTTATAAAATATATCCTAGACCTGATAAACATTTATAACCAGATCCTGTTCGTGTGTGGTTCATGTAACACGCACCACATTTACACCGTTTTCAATTGGTAGCAGTCAAGTAAAGGAAATTAATCACAATTAGGCATTAAAGTACGTATAGCAGATGCCTAAGAGCAAAGTATCATAAGAAAAACTGGAACTTCACAACGAGAGAAACTAGAACGAGAAGAGGATGTTATTTCAGAGTGTAGTGTGTGAAGGATAAATAGCCACATGCAATCTACTGCACATAGATGTTTAAATCAAATATTGGCATGCTTATATTGTGTGAGCCACGTTATAAATGCACAACACCTTTGTTAACTGGAATTTGAGTTTCAATATTATTGATGTTCAAAATGGAAATGGTGTTTTTACAAATTTAATAAAAGAGAAGACAGTGCAAGACAAAAAGCTGTTCCAGTCCTCAATGGCAAGCCCACTGCCAAGGACGAATTACTTGTAACCTTTTCCTTTCCTTAAGTCTCAGATCTTAAAAAAAAAAAAAAAAACAAAAAGGAAGAGTAGTTACCAACAAGATTGAAATGCTATTATATATATGCATAACGAGGATGTTACATGAAACAAAATACAGCAACCTTGAATTGTGAATTGAAATTCTTCTCGAGAGATTTTACAAGTTATACTAAATTATTTTTATTCATAAACTTCATTAATTGTCTTTACAAAAGACTATCTTCAGACCCAGATCAACACTGATTCTCTGTCAAGACTGCACTTATAGTTCAGTCGATTTACATGAACATAATTATAAGATTAGACCTTTCCATCTATGGAGGGAGGAATGTCAGATTCGGAGGCTGTGGAAGAAGTGGCAAGCACAGAGTTTGTGCCTCCGGAGGGAGAAGAAGAAGGAGAAGGTAGCTTCTTGGGAAGCATCTGTTCCCAGAAATCCTTGGGAAATCTTGACCCTTCCGATAGAACAACAAAAGCAAGAAGAGTCAAGAACAATAACTGGTGCCTCCAGAAACCTGACATAATGATTATGAGTGCTGATATTACTACCACTCTCTACTCAGGAACTGCATAGAACCTTCACTTGGCTTTAAATAGAGAAGCTATAGAGGGCTTCTGGCAGCAGACATGTTCAGTAATGTACGGAAGTTGCCAACTTGTTTGGTTGGGGAAAGGATGCGTAAATGGCAGACATTAGTGATAATTCTATGCTGTTAATTAATCCATGTCGTTGCTTTCATTATGTAATAAACTAATTGAACCTGAGTGTGCATGTGTCAGAAATTTTATGAATAAAATAAAATAAAAAAAATCACTTTTTGACCCCTTGTTAGTTGGATGTTAATAGTTAATTCACCGTCTTTGTTATGATTTCTCTCTTTTTCTCTGATTTAATCTTTCTGTACTTGGTACATAAGTAACCTGATTAATTATCTCTCAGAATACAGAAAATTAACCTCAGTACCCAAATCTCTTTTACTTACTAACACATGTAATTAACCTCAGTTCTTATAATAATGTTTTCTGACAGGCCTTTTGTTCTTAGTTTAGATTCAAATGAAGCATTGATCCAGGCCAACATTAAGTTAAAATAAAATCACAGTATTTCTTTGTCATCACACTTTTCCGGCGAAGTCCTTATATACTAGCTTAACTAAGATAAGACCTAGAACATAGCTAGTATTATTATCCTTAAACTTTGATCATGCAGCTGCAAACATGAGGAGAGTGCTCCTTTATAGTAGTTTGTTTTTTCTTTTTTATTCCTCTCTGTTGGGGACGAACTTTTTAGTAGTTATTAAGAACAGCTTAAAAGTTAAACTGGTTTAACTAAGGAAAAGTTGGCACCTATGAGTTAGTGTCCACAAACGAAAAGTAGCTTGACACTTTATATGCTGATTTCCCGACAGCATGGTGTATTAAATAGTAAAATAGGAAGATAATGGCATTGGTGGTGTAAGTGAAACCTGCGTATATTTAAGATCATTAGATCAGCGTTAGTGTTATTGCCTCCCTTTGATTAGTTAATAGTTATATAGCCTTTTAGGCCACGTATACTTATTGAAGGTTCATACATTTAAAATCTTCTACAGATGTGTAAAAGAATGCAGGTATATGTTGGGTTTGTTCAAGTTTAATTAGTGACTACTAGCTAGCTTCATATATATCTCTTAATTAGGCTCTTCGTTTCGGTGCTCCCACTGCCTCAACCACACAGCACTCAGAAAAAATAAAATAAAGAAACATAGAATAGTCCCTAAACTATTATAAACTTTTGTTTTTTAGTCTCTTTTTTTTTTTTTTAACTGTTTTAGTTCTTAAACTTTTTTCTTATTAATGTTTTTAATTTCTGTCATTAGATATTATCGTGTGAAGTAGCAGTCATATTTTTCTTCTGGCTCATTTTCCTTGTCCTTAACTAGTGGAAGATAATTAGCTGATATATTAATTGTAACATTATCAAATGTATTTTCATTATGAATTGAATTAGACTCTAATACAGAGTAGTGGATAATGTATTTATAGGGATGGAAGAAAGCTACATGAAAACAGCATAAGATAGCTACATTCACATTTATACTTTTAATGCTATAATTAAACGTAAACTCTTTTGTTTAAAAATCAAAATTTATTTCAAATCTAAAATAAATGCAGAGGAGATGAAGAGCATTTTTTTTTCTAAATTGAAAGGAGGCAAATAGAATAATTCGTTCAAATTTTAAGCCTATGGAAAGAAATAATAAGCTATGAACCTTATTTCAAATATGTTTGAAAAAAGTAATAGAAATTAGTGAAATAAATAAATTTCTAAACTAGAACTTATTAAATAACAAGACAGACACACTTGTTATCTCATATTAAAAAGTATTAATTTAAAATATATAAAATCAATATTTTTTTAATGAAGCATTTAAAATCTATTAGAAGAATTTAAATAATTCTACCTAAATTTGTAATTTCATACGAAAATAAACATTTATTTGTACTATATAAAAATATATAAATAAGTTGAATCAATTAAATTTATATTTATATAAAACTATTGACCTTACAATAATCAATATAAATTACACTGATATGCCTTTCCCAAGATTACCTATGAGAAGATAGTCTAACCACAGACAGCATAAAAATTTATATTGTCATTTAATTATAAATTATTAAGTATAAGAATTATTCGTGTAAAGTGTAAGAATTATTTGTGTGTGTATGTACATAAATATATTTAAAAGATCTATTAAAAATATTTTCATTTTAAAAACATTAAAACTACAAATCTAAGCCATGCAATATAATCATAAATTGATGGTCAAAAGTTAAAATGATTTTAAGGTCACACTTACTTAAAAAGGCCAAGTAATTTTTTAATCTTAATTTAATGATTTAAATATTATCTAATAGCTTAGATTTAGTATATGAATAGAATTCTAGTATAAAATTGTGATTTCAATATTAATTTTGTTTCCAATTTTAACATATATATATATATATATATATATATATATATATATATATATATATAATAGTATTATGAGAAATGCGTATTTCTGTAAACATGTTATCTACTAAATTTTAATTTTGTTTTAATTATATAGAGTTTTATAAAGAAATTTGACTATCCACTGTACAAACTTTAAAGCAAAACGAAGAGGTGGGGTTATTTGTTTAAAGTGAGTATGTTGCAGAAAAAAGTGAGTATGAAAAGAGTCTATATAGAAAGAAGTGTGTATAATTTACATTAAACAATAATAAAATAATAAATAAATATGACGTAGAGAAGTGAATGTAACACTCTTCAATAATACAACCATAGAAAAAGGTGTACCATATTTAATTCCCTAATCATGCAATGGCTGATGCAACTGTTTCAACCTTCCTTGGACGCCAGAATGTCTTCTGAATGCAAAGTAATCCCTCCCCATTTTTGGAATATGTCGATGGAATATCCCAGTGAAGAGATTTAGCCATGCTTTCTATCTCACTAATAGTTTCAGCATTGTCTCTTACCACCAAATATCCTTCTGGTCTCAGGATCCTATCAACCTCTGCAAACACTGCCATTATGTTGCACCTGCATCCAAGTATGTGCCAGTTTAATCATAAGGATACATACGGACTAAGGATATTTCTCTGCAGATAATTTTTAAAGTTACCGAACATACTTTTTCTTGAGTGTTGAGAATATAGAATCAGCATGAAGAAGATCATAGGATCTCGGGTATGTACTGAAGGATTCACACCAATCATGATAAATACCGAATAATCCACGCTCATATATTATAGGCAGTGTGTCTGGAGAATCCATTGGAACCACGTTCATTACCCAAACATTCAATTTCAGGGCTCTGAGTGCTGCAGCAAACCTGAAGACACGAGAAAAGCAAAAGATAATACTATAGAAGGTAAATTATTTGATCATAAAGTCTGTATGCATAAACCCAATAATACAAGTCTTACTAATTAGGACAAAGAACTATTCACAAGTTAATATATTACTAAAAGGATATCTACAGAAAAAAATATATAAATTATCATTTTCAAAAAAGGGTTGACGGGAAAAAATAAAAATAACACAAGGAAAGAAGTGAAATACTGAAGTGTACTTGTAAAAGGTCATAATCCTTCTGCACGAATGAAACATCATTTTGGCCTTTTAAAAAATGGAATTGACCATTTCCACCCCAAAAGATTGAAATGTCAATCAAGTTAGTCCATTTTATTTTAGCAACCACATTGATGTAACAAGGATTAAATTGATCTACTTTTTCATCGTTTAGAGATGAAAATTGTGATTCCCTTCTTTAGGAATTAATGTGTCCGATCTTTCAACGACCAAAATAGTGTTTTATTCTGTTGGCAGACACCACATGAAATTATTGGGTACCAGAGTAGAATTTCCACTCATTTTCCTCCTACTCAGCTTGTGGAAACATTGTTAGGGGAGAAAAGAAAGAGATGTATTATACAAAATAATGATTCTCCACCAGACTAAATCAAATACAAAGAACAAAAAAGTAACTAATTTCCATTTAAAAGAGGAACCACGAATATGCGCAAGTACAAATAAAATCTTACCCTCCATAAGCAGCTCTCATGTCCATGACATTTCTTACTGAAGACCAATTAATACTCATTCCATTCAAATATGAGTGGGATATAACGTTTTTCCAATGCTTGTAATCAGCAGTGAATTCTACTGAAGCAATCCTTCCATAAAGACCAGCCTGAGAATCTATCCAGTAAGGTGGTTTCTCCAACCTCAGCGGCCATTGCTCAGGCCATATTGATCCACGCTCTGATGCATCAACGGGCACTTTGTGCACACAAGCCTGTAGTGATACATTCCTGAAGACATGCAAGTTGGAAAATATCTTAAAAGATAGCACAGAAACTGCCAAAAAGGAAAACTCTTCAACTAAGTAATGTCTATCAATACTCTGGAATGATAGCATATAAGGAAATTTCAACCTGAGTGATTAATTTTGATATGTTTAATTCGTTTTTTCTTTTCTTAATGGAACAAGGAAGAATAAGTTGCTTTAGCGATTCAAGCCTAGAAGAAAAGGACATCAAGTATTTGAAAAACCGAATACTTCAGTTTATTTTAGTATTAATCACTAAGATTCTCCTTTTTCTTAAACACAAGTTGCTAGGTGCATGTATACATAACAGTACCCTTTAAATACCCACAAATTATTGTTGCAGAATTTCTAAGAAACAATTATGTATCTCCAAACAAAAGAAAGCTTGCAAAAATTTGGCAAGGAAAAAACTGATTAACTTATATATCAATAAACAATTATAAATTCATATTTCTTGGTAGAAAGACTCCCAATCATTTGGATTAGTACTGTTATTTTTTTTTTTTTTCTTAATTGCATTCTTATTAGGAAATATTCAAAAATTTGTTTCAATTCCACATCATTTGAGGATCCTATTTATGCCTATTGCCCAAATATAAAAATAGTTGTACCAGGCTGTATTTGGATCATCAGATTCATTGCACATTGGTGGCTCATTTTTTATTCTGTTGTTATAACATTCATTGTCAGTTGGCTTTCTATATATTGCTGC